TAACCATGGTATAATAAACTATGACTCAGCTCAGTATAGGACCCTTTGCCTACCTATATGGTGTTCTTAAAAGCACTAAAGCACACATGAAACTATATGACATTCTATTTGCTTTGGGTCATTTCATAGGAATCACGCTTCATCTCCTGGAACATAGACCTGGTGCAAATTGGCCCATTCAACTCCAGATTCAGTCAACTTTAATATACATCCATACTGAAAGTGTACGTTCGCTCAAAATTGGCTCTGGCAATAATATTGCAGGATTGAATATTAAATTCTAAATAATGGTGATAATTAAGGGTTTAGTCATATGTGCGTGATTGCATCATACTATAACAATTTTGAAGCAAAATGATGTGAGTAAAGTAAGGTAATATCAATGTTGCTGTATTAGGAATAAAGGTACGTTTACTTGAAATTGTTTTAACTGGGTAACAAACACCCTGATTCATTAATATCATGTTTTCTTCAAAGAAACCCATGAATCTTATGTAACCACAATCATGTCCTCTCCACTGTCCTTCCAGTTGGCTAGTTGGATAATTAGCTATATTTACTCCACAGTGTCCATAACCAACTGCAATGTACCATGAGAATTATGTTGTCATGCAAATGCTGTTCTTATCTGCTTGTATCCTGATGTCTGATGCAAATATGTGAGTTGCAGCATTTATGTGATGTTGTCATTTACATTTCATCACCACACATGTTTATTTGCTATTTTGGGTAGATTATCCACCCATTTCATCCTCAAAACTGAATAATGGCATATGACTAATGGCCAGCTTTTACTTGTGGCTAATAGAATATGGCTAATTTTGATCAATTATTTATATACCTGTAACTAATTAGTCTATTGTGACATATTTAAACTTAGTGAGTCCACTAATTAATTATTTTTCATTATTTGGTAGTAGTAACTAAATGGTATATAATAGTTAGTAGTATATAAAACCTTTCATTACTTCCTGTTAATGATGCAGTGCTACTTGCTGAACTCACTAAAACGTAAAATCAGACAAACTTGCTTGTAAGAATTTACAGCTAAACTCACTTTACAATGTTTGTCAAGTCAATATATTTCTACATCCCAATAAAGCACAGTGGCCTGATTTATGCCTTACATTTCAGTGGCCCCACCTTGGGAGGCACTCTTCCACTGGGGACTCGGAGACTCTCACAGGGGAAGTCTTTGATGAAAATGGGAAAGTTATTTCCCAGGCCTTCCTTTGATTTTATCAGCTGCCCTATCATGGTTTAGTTTTAAATTTTTATATTTCATCATTTTTATATGTTTTATTGCATTTTGTTATATCTGTTCTAAGAAATCTCAATATTTTCAAGCGAAAAGCATATAAAAAATCTATAAATTAATAAAATTAATCATGGCTTACAAATCACCATGGCTGAGTTTAATATGATCATATGATATATGATCATATTAAACCAAAACCAAGCTAGCACATGATAGCCTAATATGATGTGTGAACAACCAGTGGTTGTATTCAGGTATCTTTTCTACTGATCCTATACCACAGTTTGAAAATTAGGCATAAGCTTTATCCTTTAATGTCCCCTTTTTCCTTTCCATTAATCTAGGTATATAAAGGATGAAGAGACTGCAAAAACCTGAACTCACTAAACAATGGCTTTTACTCTCATATTGCATTCCAATATGCATAGGCTATTGGAAAGTTGAGAATGTTCTTTGATGAGGCAACTGAGCTTTTCCCTCCTTACTTTTGCAAAAGGGAAATGGATAGAAAGTGATGTTGTGTCATGGAGCAAGCACAAGGAAACCTATCCATATTTGGGTGTGTGTAAAGTTTTGATGGAGGGTTTTGATTTGACAAACCTCTTATCAAATCACCCTACTGAAGCAGTTTCATGAACCAAAAGGGAACTGCATCAAAGCAGCAAAGTGAAGCAGGAGATTCAATAATCTTTTGTAAAGCTCCACAGATTTGATAGCTTTTCCATTGCTAGTGGAGTTGTTTCAAATAATATGTATTGCAAGTTTAATAGCATATTGGAAAATGGGGATATGCAGTACTTTACATCTGAAGCCAAATAGATGCTTCTGAGTGGGTGTGGGCATGCATGCTATACTTGTGGACTCCTCCTTAAAGAAATGGATCTTTTGCTGAGTTTGCATTAGGGTTAAGGAATTGGCAATACTGTGTGTTATATGGAAGAGGAACAAGTTTTACCGGACAAGACTGAGACTGATCTGAAAGCAGATTTAAAAATGACAAGCCACAAGAATGATATGGAAAAGATACTATACTGGACATACAAAAGAAACCAGCTTGATATCAAGGAAAATTGAAATTATTCTGTAGCCTTTAAATAGAAATACTTATTTCATTAACAATCAACATAAGGATCAGGATATTGCAGTCTAATCTGCTACCTCCAAGCAAAATCATATATACTCATTATATATATATACTCATTATCATTAATTCATGTTTAAAATTTAGCTTGAAAAAGGAAGAAACTCCTTCTGCTCTCCTCCCTCTCTTTGTTAACTCAGGCTATAAACACATAGATAAATGTGATCGG